ACTCTATAATGTTGTGCTAAATATAATCGGTTGTTCCCCCTATGTTCTCCTTGACTACAACATAAAACTATGGTAATAAGCACACATAAAGCCACCATGCCGACTTAATGAAGAAATTCTTATAAAAAAATGGAAATCAGTAAATTACGAATGACAATTATTGAGGTAAGTATTAATGACGAAGAATTCTATTTGTACTAAAATGATAAAAATTACTTAGGATAGATTGGTTCTACTAAGAAATGACTGTTTTTTTATTAAATCAAAGCTCTATCATTATAGAAATCAAAAACAGTAACAAAGAAAGATTATTACATCGTTTGTGAATTCATTCGGTAGTTATTAGATATTATATTATTACATATAATACTATATGGATTAAAGACACCATGTACATGATGTACTCATACAGTACTTTTATGAAAGCAATATTGTAGTGAAGAACACAGATGAAGACACCCAATCATGTTTAGCACAAAATTACTGTTACTTTTCAGTCATTCAGTCAGTCATTAATAACGTAGAACTTCGCACGTTCGTACATCAGTTCCAGTAGCCATACCACCTTAGCACAGAGATGCAGTTGTCGATCCAAATCCCGCAGTGGTAGAGGTAGTAAAAGTATAAGCAGTAATCAAAAAGATTAGGGCTCGAAGATGTTATTCAAGGAGTATAACCCAGTGAAATAAATTTGGAAAGAGGAAAAAAGGGACATGAAGAATTCAGAAGATTAGAATTTGGGACAACCCAAAGAGTGAATGCACCTGTACCATTGCAAACGATTTTAAGCCATGCCAATCAAGGTATCTGACCATCGGTTGCTATCGTCTCGCGAATCCCAACCAAGTAGTCTACACCTACCAACATGGCTCAGTCCACTTGTCAGTGACTTGATGGATTTGTTCCATGTTTTGGTAAAATAGAAAAACCATACTCCAATCCTTCATTTGCAAAATCTTCATCAGTTGTCTCAGACTTCATGGTTCCTGCATTTTCATACCAATTGCTTTCTGTCCCCCTTTCTTCCCTCCTCGATCTTTTCACTCTTCTGCCGCCAGGCATTCTGTTCCTGATTAGCGTTATGTACTACTTATGTCGATATAAGTAGCACACAACACAATATTTCTGTTATGTGTACAACAGTATTATTAAAGAAAAAGTAACAAATCAAACGGAAAACTTCTAATTATTATTAGATTTAATACTATCCAGCTGTATTAATCAAAGATCCATTACAGCTCAAAACTAATATCTCTTTTGATAAATTAGAAGAAAATTCTTATGTTGAATGTTATTCACCGTTATTCATGTTATTCACAATTAATGAACTGAACTGTCTTTGATCATGGAAACTAATTCTCTTGCTTCGTTAAATGTATACATATTCAAGATAAATCTAATAGTATCATTGAAGGAATCATTTAAGAATCCTTAACCCTGATAAAATCAAACTATTTTTATTTTGAAAAATGACAAAATTTACTGATGAATAAAATGAATAGTTCAAACTTAGTTATTTAGACTAAAATAAACTTCAAATGTGCATAAAATGAAGTGACTATCAAGTCATTCAGTTAAAGAAGTAAATATACCGAATAAGATATACTTTAAATAAATCACTTTGACAAAAATTTTTTTCTTTTTATAAAATTTATTATTATTCAACACGGTAAATGTAAAAAGCAACTTGCTAACACAGGTAATTTGATTAAAGTGAAATTCAGCAAAACTCATTATTGAACTAGTGTTTCCCGATAACTTCTTGATTTATTGCTAAATGTCATTATTGTAGGATGGGTTTAAGAACAATATGAAGCTAAATTTCGACTATCGTATATCATTTGAAATGATAATATATTTATAAGGAAAGATGAATGGTGGTTAGCCGTGGAATCCGGGACGCGTGTTTCATACTATTTGAGACTCATTACCTTGGTGTACTTGCATCCTAGAATTGATGTTCACCCCAGGACTCGAACTCAGTACCATTTACTTCAAACATCATCACGTTACTCACCTAGCTATTGGGTCGTGATAGCCATCAACTTGTCCAATAGGATGAAGTGTTAATTTAATTTTGTAATGTTTGTTTGAATCTTCTCATTGATGTTCAGGGTAACGCTTGATCACTATCGTATTGACATATGTGAACCCTTAAAGCAATATCGAGGTAATTCACACAGGATACTCATATATCAATAAGAGATTGATCGATTTCAGTCCTAAACATCACTGGGAAGATTCAAACAACCAATACAAAAATGAATCGAAAATAACTTTCATAGTAAAATGTTTCTGAGTACATAAATTTTTCAACATCCTGACCCATACATCTTTTAAATGATTTATGTGTTGTAAACATTAAATTAAGATATCTATTTTATCCATACATATAACTGAAAATGTGCATAGATTGTTTTACCCTAAAATTAATGATTGAGGTTAAAGAATACAATTTAATTTCATCATAATGAAATATTTTCAACCCATAGTCACAAATGGAATTTATTTATTCAGAATAAAATAGTTAACAATTTGATCGTTGTTATGGTAATGTGAATTTTTTGTGTTAAATATTTTAGTTTTCTTCTAATTGGTTATTGGTTAACTCATTTACATTTTAAATTGACATTGGGTTCACTGTGAATTTGAATCGATCACATATTTCCATCTGCGTCACAAGACAAGCTCTCACATGGAATCTTGAAGGCCAAAGGAAAAGAGGAAGAGCAAAGAACACATTCCGCCGGGAAATGGAGATAGACATGAGAAAAATGAACAAGAATTGGATGCAATTAGAATAGAGGGCCCAGGACAGAGTGGGTTGGAGAATCCTGGTCGGCGGCCTATGCTCCATTGCGAGTAACAGGCATAAGTAAGTAAGTAAGTAAGTAAGTAAGTAAGTAAGTAAGTAAGTAAGTAAGTAAGTAAGTAAGTAAGTAAGTAAGTAAGTAAGTAAGTAAGTAAGTAAGTAAGTAAGTAAGTAAGTAAGTAAGTAAGTAAGTAAGTAAGTAAGTAAGTAAGTAAGTAAGTAAGTAAGTAAGTAAGTAAGTAAGTAAGTAAGTAAGTAAGTAAGTAAGTAAGTAAGTAAGTAAGTAAGTAAGTAAGTAAGTAAGTAAGTAAGTAAGTAAGTAAGTAAGTAAGTAAGTAAGTAAGTAAGTAAGTAAGTAAGTAAGTAAGTAAGTAAGTAAGTAAGTAAGTAAGTAAGTAAGTAAGTAAGTAAGTAAGTAAGTAAGTAAGTAAGTAAGTAAGTAAGTAAGTAAGTAAGTAAGTAAGTAAGTAAGTAAGTAAGTAAGTAAGTAAGTAAGTAAGTAAGTAAGTAAGTAAGTAAGTAAGTAAGTAAGTAAGTAAGTAAGTAAGTAAGTAAGTAAGTAAGTAAGTAAGTAAGTAAGTAAGTAAGTAAGTAAGTAAGTAAGTAAGTAAGTAAGTAAGTAAGTAAGTAAGTAAGTAAGTAAGTAAGTAAGTAAGTAAGTAAGTAAGTAAGTAAGTAAGTAAGTAAGTAAGTAAGTAAGTAAGTAAGTAAGTAAGTAAGTAAGTAAGTAAGTAAGTAAGTAAGTAAGTAAGTAAGTAAGTAAGTAAGTAAGTAAGTAAGTAAGTAAGTAAGTAAGTAAGTAAGTAAGTAAGTAAGTAAGTAAGTAAGTAAGTAAGTAAGTAAGTAAGTAAGTAAGTAAGTAAGTAAGTAAGTAAGTAAGTAAGTAAGTAAGTAAGTAAGTAAGTAACTTATTTAAATTTGTTTTAATCTTGTATATATTATTTTACGGTTACTGCTTAACTAATGTTTATAATTGTCAACAAATTCTGTATCAGTTTGTTTCAGGTTTCCTAGAATACACTTCGAATGATCTCAAATACACATTATAACATGAATAGTAATTCTCATTTCAGCTATTTAATGAAACGCTGTTTTTGACAATCAGATTAAGAATTCTTTTTCATTGGATTAAAATTGTAAGCAGCTAACAAAAGCTACTACTGTTTCTTCAACATACTTCTTACTGTTGTAAAACACATTCACAAACTCATAAGATGTTTATATTCGTTTATTCTCTGTGTATTGTTTACAGCATTTTTAATTAGAAACAAATAAATATGAGTGAAATATATTGAAGGAATTCAGAAATAATAAATATTATAAAAGTCAAGATCCGTTGGCCAGACACTATCAGCAACAACCTACTGTGAGAGAGAATAAACCAGATTCAAGTGGAGCAAGAAATCAGATAGAAGCACTGAAAGTGGATAGGACACACATTGAGGAAAGCACCCAACTGCGTCACAAGACAAGGCCTCACATGGAATCCTGAAGGCCGAAGCAAAAGAGGAAGACCAAAGAACATATTACACCCAGAAATTCGAGACAGATGTGAAAAAAATGAGCAACAAATGAATAGAACTAGAAAGGAGGGCCCATGACAGAGTGGGTTGGATAATGCTGGTCGATGGCTTATGTTCCATTAGGGGTAGCATGAGGAAGTATGTAAGTAAATAAGTAAGTAAGAAAATTTTTTTCCTTTTTCTTTAAACTCTTTCCTGCATTTATTACATCATAGAGTTTGATTACAACTATCTTCCAAATTAATAATCTTATTTTATCAACTGAGCCCTACTCACTATATTCCTATCAATGCTTACTCATAATGTAATCACTTGATTCTATCCGTTTGAACTGTTGTCACAATCAATGTTGTAGAATGTTCTTTTACATAAGATATATATATTTACAGTATTCAGTCTATTAATCTTATTTACACCCTTGCTATAATGTACGAATATATCTTTAATATAACTTCCAACCTAACCTCTCATCTAATTTAAACCCATTATGTTATTATGATTTTAAATCTCACAGATTGTAAGAAGCTAACGAGAACCTACGCAATAAAATAAATCCATGTTATCCTGCTAGAATCTTCGTTCTTGCTCTTTTCAATAAAATAAGCATATGAATATACATTTCAAATAATTGTGGTTAGTAAACGTAATTAAAAAGAATTTCTCACCTGGTGTATCCGGATCCATTGGTTCATGTTCAATAGCTCCGTTGGTACCCGAAAAATTCTGAACTGATTGAGGCATTAATGGAGTTTTTAACATTCCATCTGATGGTGTTAAGGTGATTGACATATCATTATCTATAGGTTTAGTTCGACGTCTTCTGTACAATTAAATCATAAGTAAATAAACCGTGTTTACGCCAAATGAATAGTACTTCTTTGGTTATAAGAAATAGATAATTAATATTCAGTGTTATAGACACATAATGTAAAATAATATGAACGCTATATGCATTTTTATAATAATCTAAATTATATCAAAACTAGTTGTTCAAGGATGAAAAATCAGGTTCCATAACTTTGGTAGTTGATCAAGTTTCCTCCAACACACTTCGAATACTAATAAACTGTAAACTCATCGGCACTTGTAATTTCTCAATGAATAAGTAAACACGTTATATAATATGGCTTAGTGTCAACTAAAATTTGCCAATAGATCATATATACTAATTTTTACTACCTGCATAACTATTAGTGGTAAAAAAGGTGTTCGGAGGCTAATGTTCGTACATACGAAGATTCATCATTGGGAGTTTTATAATTCTTAGAAAAATTCATGTTGTATTTTAGACATCAAAGCCAGTCTAATCGTTTGTAATCAGCCTAGACTTAACTATTATACACATGGTTGAATATACTTGGACGAGAAAAATAGAAAAGTTTCATCAACCCCCTGAAAATTTTCCAACACTAGTAGTCATCTAGTATTGAATTTCTTAAATACGATAAGCAGAAATAAACTTTAATGTAATTGAACGTTGCGTGATACAACGTTTTATCATATTGTGTATACATTACTGTAGACTAGTAATGATATATTCTTACTGACATAAAAATGATCAATTTGTTTAAACCTGATCAAATTCTTTCGAAAGAGAAAATAATATAGTTTTTCAGTACCTCAAGATCATATAACTCAATTTTAGGCAGTTATTTCTTTATGTCTTTCAAAACATATGACAAGACATCATTATTAGTATATCTGCAATTACAAAGTGGCTAGCAATAGGATCCAGGACGCGCGTGTCGTCCTATTTAGAACTCGTCAGCTGGATGCACCCGCATCTCAGAGTTGATGTCCACGCCGGGACTCGAACTCAGAGCCGTTCGTTTTAAACGCCATCGCGTTATTTAACTAGTTACAGAATTGTAACTAATATTTTATGTATACAACTTGTTATGATTTCGTTGTCCATTTCAAAATTATTCATATTTTCAACGTTTAATCTCGATTTCATCCTGTTCAGTTGTTCTGTTAACTTGACTAAAATGTAATTCATTTTATAATTCATTATTGGTCAAGTATCATTCTATAATTCGGTAGGATTATGATTTATTGACGATCTTTAAGCGACGCTAAAGTGACATTGGGACAATTATTCTACTCACTAGTATTAAAAGAGAGCTACAAATTAATATGAAAAATTAGGATTAAGACTTAGAATTTATGGTTGTGAATTAAAGTAAAGGTTTTCATTACGAACTGACATCAGCCATAATCCCAAAAATGATATTTAACTATATGAATGAATGAATTTCATGCCCAAATCCAAGACTTACTAACCTTAATTTCATTAAATCATCCATAAATTATAATCTTATCTATAATTTATTATGTTTTTTACAAAAGATGACAATCAGTAATACATTTTATTTGGATGTAGAGAAAGTTTCCTATCAAAACCAGTGAGTGGTAAACATTTGTTCCGTCATTATTTATGATTTTTCTATAATATACATCTATAGTCTCTTTCTTATTTATATGTTGGTGTTTTTACAGTTAAAATAAATGAAAGAACAAGATAGAGAAGTTTACTTACCTCATTAAACATCCAATAGCAGTACATATTGTAGCAATTATACTAAGAGTTGCAATGATTATAATTAATGTTATAGTGAAAATATCTGCACTATTAGCAAATTTAGGAAAGAATTCACTTTTAGAATTTGTATTGGATATTTTCATTGCACTTGTCTCACTATTCTCTTTTATAATTGATTCACTAGCATGCATATCTCCAATTTGTTGATCTGTATATGTGATCGCTTGATCTGGTTGAAAATGTATTGACCATAAACTTGGTGTACATAGTTCTTTAGAAAGATTCTCTTCATCTTCTACTGATTGTTCACGATTATAGAGATAAGAATCTAATGATGTACTAGAACCTGTTGAAATTGTATTTGTATTGCCACCAAATGGTGGCATATTTGGATAAATGCAAGCTAAAACAAATGCCTGAATTATAGAAAAAGTAAGAGATAGAGAACAATGAATTATATCTAATTTTAAATTATGTTACATTTATAAGCAATTTAATAGAAGCACATTGGTTAGGCCTTTTAAAACAGAAAACTTTGGTATACAGGATTATAGTGAATTTTATAAACTGGTATATCGATGTTTAATCAGATTACAAACACTTTCCATTGTATGTGTCTGTGAATACTGAGATGTTTCTTTAGTATATTATTATATGAAATATGAAATTCAGAAAAAAGCTAAGACGAAGACCTTTATTGTCAATAACAACATACGCTTATTCTTGAGAGATATTTGTGTAAAATAAGTTCCAACATATTTGAAATGTTTGTTATTCATTCTCTTTTAAATTGAATTACTTCGGTTTTTCAGTCATTCTATTTATGATGATATATACTTTTTTCTTTTACTAATAAACACTAAGATATTGGTTTTAAGTTTAATTATCTTCTTTAAATATTCAATGGTTCTTCAGGTAGGTTAATCACAACTCTAAATAGTATATGCATGTCTATATAGATAATGTTTTCAATTACTGTATTTATTCTATTCAATCTTTTTAGTTTCTTTCAAGTATATTCTTTTAATGAGATTTTGTTTTGTAAACATTTTGATTGTTCAATGTTATACTTATTCTTGAGTTGTTGTGATAGAATAATGGTAGAATAGAACTTCTATTTTATATACACTTGACTCTAAACAAAAAAATTGTTTACATAATAATAAATAGAAAATTATTCATTATTTTTGCACAAGTTTATACTCTTTTATAGTAACAGTTATAGTTTTATAAATAAACAAAACTAGGATAAATTGTTAATATAATCTATTAAAACCCTTGGCATAGTCTTTTAAACAAGCATATAATCACAATGGTAGTTTATCCTTTCATATTTATTTATTGAACAAGTGATAATATTGAAAAAAAAGCGTTCAGTAGTTTATGTTTAGTTTATTTTAATTCTGAAAGTTAAATAAATGTTCGAATCTCGCGGAGCGGGATCATGGATACACACTGCTGAGGAGTCCCATACTAGGACGAAACAGCCATTCAGTGCTTCCAGGTTTTCAATGGTGATTTAGCTTCAATTGACCCACGAATTCAACTATTAAATAAATGTTAATTATTTATCTTACACTATTGTTTAGATTTTAATTTCGGTTAGATTGTATTTTGTTATATGAATTGATTTCTTATCTTTTCAGAACTAGGTTTTATTTTATTAATCAGAATAATTTGTTATTAACAGTGATAAAATGAGTATTATTAGTGAGGTGAGACTATAATTTATGGATGACCTTTGAGCGACGCTAAACTGACCCTGAGATTGCCCACTGAATAACTAGAACTAAATAGGGGTTATAAACTTGTGTGATGAATTAGAATTATGCTTTACAGTTGATGGTTAAGGTTAGGAATTACATTTAGGGTTTTTATCACGAGCTGACATCAGCTATGATGTCAAAACTCTATTTAGCCAAATGGATGAGTGAATTTGGGCACAAAACTGTCATCCTTAATCTGACTGGTTCGTTTATAAATGACAGTCTCGCCGTTGAATAGAGTAATACTATGTTTACGCCTATGGATAATTTCACAAAATGTATAGAAATTTAAATATAGTATATAGCAATATGTTAAACTGTCACTAACAAAAAAGCTTGTTTACTGTCAAGATACTTTAACAGAAATTCATCCAAAGAAGAAAAAATGAAATAATAGTGAATTTGAATGTTTGAAAACGGTTGAATAATGAAATAAAATAGAATTTATTATCAACAAGAAAGAATACATGATCAATATTGATATTTGATAATAAAAAAAACAACAATAAACAAACAATTAAGTTCAAAAGTACTTTTGAAAATATTCTTTGGAAATGTGATGATCACAAGGATTCTATGAATTTTCATTTAATCTTATCAACATAACTGTTAATATTAGTCGAGTTTACGTTATAAATAGTTTTATTATCATAATATTATTTGAAGTTGTTGCATTATTTATGAATTTACCCGTCATAGTAGTTTTATTTGCTCATACCTTCTTCAGACATTATTATTTTTTTTGTAAGCAATGATGGATAGTGGCTAGAAGTGGAATCCAGGACACGCGTTTCGTCCTATTTGGGACTCGTCAGCTGGATGTACCTGCATCTCAGAGTTGATGTTCACTCTGGGACTCGAACTCAGTACCGTTCGTTCCAAACGCCATCGCGTTACCCACTGATCAGTCCTAAACCTCAATGGGAAGATACAAGCCAAACAATACTAAGTGAATTATTATTCTTGTTATGAATATACTAAATATTATGGTTACATTCTTAGTATTTTTTTCCGGAAATCAGTGTCAATTGTACTATTTTGTTCATTGTAGTCATAACTCTTTTCAAATATTCTTAGCATTCAATTGGGTCATGATCCTTCTCTCTCTCTCATACACACACATCCCATTATTCCATATATTAAACTTGTATAATTTTGAAAGTGATCATGATTAACCAGTAAACCAAATAACTTTATGCGTATAGTACACAAAATCACATTCTTCTTAAAGACGTTTTATTAATGGAAATTAATCTATCAGTAGAATAGTTAAAGGACAAAAACCAAATAACTTTATTTTATATTTTAATACTTTCGTTATTCTTCCTTTATAGATATTTACCTATAAGAGCTAACTACATCAGATTAACTAATTTGTTCGGCTAAACTAGACTATATTCAATAAAATCATACTTAATTGACTGACATTTACATTAAATAAACACTCAGTTTAATATATTCCATGATCAAGTTATTGGTATGAAACAATTATAATCTGTGGGTAGAAAGTCGGTAAATTCAACAATAGTCATTTATTAAAGAGAAAAAAACAACGTTAGGATAATATTGGACAATTCAGCTTTTAAGAAAGATAACTATCTTATATAAAAGTATTATTTTTAAAAAATCTTCAACAGGATTAGGTTTCATTAAATCGCATTATTTTCAAGCATATTATATTATTCTACTTATTACTTATATCAGTAATTTCATATCTCAAAACAGGATGAATAAGATTTTATCATTGAATTTCCTTATCAAATATAAACAACTATGAACATAGAAAGAAGAGATTCAGGTAAACCTATAAGTTTATTGATCCCAAATAAAAGGGAGTTTAAGGTTAACTGTTTCAAAAATGTTCCCAATACTATTTCGAAATCAACTTTATAAGTAATATGGATTAAATAAAGGCATGAAGTGAAATAAGGTTGACATTTTTATTGAATAAAACAGATAAGATATTCAGTGTAAAATCTAATAATTGAATTATGAACTTAAGAACTGATGAGTATGTGTTTTATTTAAACATATTTTAAAGTAAATTCAGATTTTATAAGCAGATATGGATGGTTGTTAATAGTATGTGAACGGATTTCTGAATGGACCTGTATCCCAGAGTGTCTGTTCATTCTGAATTCGATCCCAGAGAAGACATCAACTCTGAGATATGTGTACATTTGTCTAACAAGTCCCATAAAAGACAAAATATATTCCGGATACTACTACTAGCTACCACCTAACTCTACTTGTGACTTAATTTCAGTATAGAGGTAGTTCACATGGGATGCACATATTCTAAAAGAAACATATCAATTTCAATCTTGCACACCGAAGGGAACTTTGAAGCAATCAATAAAAAGGATTTAAGTTCAAGTTTATTTTGTAAAACAGGATAACATATTAATAAATTTTGAATAACCAATGATATTTAGACAATCATATCAGGATGATATTTGAAAACATGGAAACCTATAGTATAAAGAGGATTTTAAACAATGACCAAATTACCAGTTGAATGACCTATTGCTTGAAATATCAATTTCATATTATTTAACAAACTAATGTTTCCAGTTCTTGAGAACGATAGTATGAATCTAATCAACCCCTGATATTTTTGGTGTTACAAAATGTAAAAAGCTAAAAAGAAAATCCTACTCACCAACTTATCCTCTCTATTTGGGGTAAGAAGATAACTGTTAAGAATAAGTAAACACCTAATATCCCATAGCACATACGTCTACCAGATACGGATTTATTGAATGTATACAAGGTATATGACATTATAACAAACTAGCTGGAGGCTTTCAGGTTTTATATTGAGTTTCACAAAACATTATTTTCAAGATAAAAGACATTAAAGGTCTTAAAAATACACAGTCAGTTTATCGTTTTTAGTTTTACAGCTACCCAATAAAGTACGTTCATAAATGTCTACTTTTCAGAATGAGTGGCTGTAGAAAATTTGTAGAGTGCCTGAGACTTGAGGTTCATCACTCTAAGAGATCGACCAATGTAAATTTATTATTCTCATTCTGCACTAAGCTAGTAGATGTGTTAGTCTCGAATCAGTTTGAAGTAATATTTCTACTTAATTATAGTGTTAAATTCTTTTTTATGTTTTGGTCTAATTTATTTGCTAATCTATTCTAAATGTTTCTGCACTAATTGCACTATACATTCAATATATTACCAACTGTACGTGTAAACTTTTAATAATAATTATTCAGTCAAAAGACCGAATTTACTATTTCATCCGAAAAATAAAAGTCTTCATTGTGATCACAAACCGAGCAATGTTTAAAAGCCTGGGAACAACGGACATCCTTTCCGTCCTAGTATGGGACCTTTCAGCCAATTTCTCGTGCGAACGCTTAACGTATAGACTACTGAGCCCGCATCCAACGATGTTAATGTCTATTTTCCAACAATCCGCGTCACTATGCGACTATCTTCCTGGACCAGTGGAATTCAACCGTGTCCTTTTTGAGGTGGCTACACACCAAAGACAATGGAATACGGTTGCACAATGTAGTGGAATGGTTGAAGTTAGACGTTACCAATGTTGGAAGCCCGTTTAGTGGTCTATAGGTTAGGTGCTAACTCGAGACTGGAGGTCCTTGGTGGTCTAATATTGGTTGATTTATGATGTTAATTAAAACTCAACAATCTTCATAACCCTATACTGAGAAAAAGTCGTTTATTGTGAAGATGATTTCTATAAATTTGTTTTCATATGAAAATCATTCCAGTATTTCAAAATGAACATTTTGAAAATATGATTTCTTTGTTCAATTGGAAGCTTGTTGTGTGCTGAGGTTGTCTTAAGATTCCTCAGTACCAAACAGTTATTTATTTCTATCTTGTTAATTGTTAGTAATGAACACTAAGCATCTTCTTAATATTGTCCACCTGGATCATAAAATATTATGAACAGCAAGATTTTGAAAGTCAATTAAACAGGAATTCATCATTTCATATTTTCAATTACATTTACTCAAACTTGATGATGTTTGTCTCACTTAACCTGTCTTTTTACCAAAACTTTAGGACTACTTTTCCAAAAATATCTTAAAGCTTTCTCTTTGAATGATGATAAAATCAAAGTGAAAATTTGATTAGTTGATGATTGACGAATGAAAACTGTAAAAGTATATGTTTTCTTTATTTAAACTATGATAAACAATAAACCAATTACCGAAGAAACAGATTATAAAAGAAAAAGGAATCTCAACATTTCAAAACTTATGACATTATTTTACTTTTAAATAAAGTTTTGCATCCCTCTATTTGAGTATGCACAATTCAGTAAGCTGAGTAAAATGTTAAATAATTGAAGAGAATTTCATTGAAGAAAGAGCAGCCGAAATCATCTTATCAAAAAGTAGATAGTGATTACAGTTTATTGCCAAAAACTATAAATTCACTTGTGAAATATCTATGCAATATCATACAGAATAGTCAAAGTAAAATCATGTCAAGTTTCAAATAATCAAGACGATAATAGCAATTATTCACTTTGTATTATCCTACTAGTATTTACTTTAAATGCTTTAAGAAGACTAGCTATTCAAATCACTGATCAAACTTAGCATTTTTATGTTCCCATTTTAAAGATATAAAACAAAGAACTTATTTACTCTATGGTTGATAATTTGTGTATTTTTAGTTTCAGATATACCATGGAAAATTCATTAAATATGTCCAATACTAGAACAAAACGGCCATTCAGTGATTCCAGATTTTCAATGAGGGTTTAATATCGATCGATTCATGATCCCAGTCAAATATATTTTCTCTTTGAGAATCCTTTTATACATTTTTCAGTATCATTGGGTTACCTAAAACTATGGATATTGATTTTGATACGAATTACTCAAACACTTAGCATTCCAATTTTGTTTAACAATATAAATAGGATAATGATGATGAAAAAATCACTAAAATTTCAGTATACAAATCCAATTGTATCAGATGATTTTTTATATGTGTAACATTCAAAATTTTATTGCTTAATGAAGTAATAATTCTCTAATTTACTTAATTATATTAAGAAGCTACTGTGAATTAGTCCGTTTAGGAATTAAAAAGCTTACAAACTATTGAAATTTTTGTAAGAGTTAAAACTAATGCTAAGTGTGAATGTTAGAAAATATGTCAAAGGTTTTTAACTGAAAGTATCAATAAGAAACTACGTCTAACCTAAAGTTTACTGCGTAATCAGTCATGGTCGATAAGGCGACTTCAACATCATCTTGCAAACATCAAACTAACTTGTTGACTAATGACTGTTTCAATCACCTTGTCTGTTAGAATGCTTTAAATGGCTGAAAACACAGTTGCAAAAGCGGGAATTCAACTTTTGTATATGCTTCTGGATTATTTAAATCAGCATGATTTTTAACCGCAATTTTTGTTAGGGTCAGTATTAGGGACAGGATTCAGTTTAGGGTAGGCATGCTATGTTCATGATGTTTAACTTTTAGGTTTAAGATGTTAGAATCAAGGTGGTACGTCTAGGATCTATGGCATATATAAATTGAATCCTAACCCTAAATCTTAAGGCTCATACTAAAGTCTAACGCCAAAGAACTTACAGTTAAAATAGTTTCTTAATCAATTGGAATTATTATATTGTTAATAAATCATTTTGTCTTTGGTTAGAAATTATTCAGTCATATATACTATTTTCTCATTGATTAAAACAACTCAATACCTTAAGGTCGTTCGACAACATACTTCAGGTTTATCAAAGTAGACTATCTAAGACGTATGGTCAATGAATTTAAGGAATTATTAAATCACTGAACTGGAACATCTTTACAGTTCTTTTAGTAGTCATTTATTTTCCTGACTTCACAAATAAGATTACTCATCGTTAGTGACTAAAGGTCTTCCAGAGATTTATCTTAAAATTATAGACGTAAACATTGATTTATTAGTAGTTTTCAAAATTGTTAGACTTTCATCTACTTTAATCGATATTGAACTAATTATTATGCTCTAGACAAATAGAAAACTGTGAATTTTCTCTTCTCTTAAGTGAATACTGAAAACATATAATTTATGTTTGTATATGGTTCTTTTAAACTTCTAATAGGAAAAAACGCGCGTCCTGGATTCCACTACTAGCCACTATCCATCTCTGCTTAAAAAGCTTGTGACTTAAGGCTATATCAAGGCATCCTCACAGGATGCACATATACCAACATGAGATCGATCATTTGCAATCCTAAATAACAACGGAAAGATACAAGTAAAACAACACCAAGGGATTCTAATGCAATATTTTATAAAGATTATAATTTATCATAATATGAACCAACAATTCAAATAATAATAATAATAAACTCACTTTATATTTCTGATTTCTTATTAGTTGCCTACCATAAACTAAAATTTCAGGTAATGAATTAGTATTCAGTTTCTCTGAATGTATTAATTTATCATTTTGTATTTGATGAGTTTGATTAGTAACACCACTTGACTTATTAAAAGTTTTTCTTTTAAATCGTTTCTTTATTTCTGTTGTTGGCATATTTAATATAATTTCAACATATGATCCAACAAATGCCTCTTGACTATATTCAGCTGCAATAAATATATTTGGATTCCAAGATTGTGATGCATCATGAAGCTTAAATAAATAAAAGAATTCAATAAAAATTAGTTAAAACTTGTGTGAATATTTAAATAAGTAAAATATATTTTGAAAAAGAAGAAGACAAAGAATAGAGTATCCATATGTAGTTAAAATCATACTGGAAACTAATTTAAAGGTTTGCAAATTGTGCATGGTGATTAGTGAGGTGAGAAAAATTCAAATTTATATAATGAAAGGCAAAAGTAACTTTTTTTCTCTAATATAAATGAAGATTAAGCTAATGAATACTTTTTATTCTTTTTGTTTTCGATATTCATTTGTGAAACTCAGGATAAAACCACTTATCACCTTAAATACAGTTCATACACTAAGATACCAGATTTCACTAGATATGAGGTGAATGACTGATTCCATTTGCATAAAAACTACATGAAATTATCGAACATTTTCAATATTATTAGGAGTTTTCTGGATAGTATAGTAATTTCAATGGTTGAGATCATGAGTCACTTGAAGCTAGACCAACATGGAACACCGTCTGATATTAATCAACATATACTCACTAGTGACTGGCTTCAAGAGATATATCCTGGAGCTCAAGTGAGAAGTAGTGAACAGTGGAGTTCAACCAGGTCTGTTGTGAGATAGTAACTCACTGATGACAATGGTGGATGCGTCACTCAATTCCGTGGATTAGTTGAAGTTAGAAGTTAACACCATTGGATGCCGACCGGCTCAGTGGTCTAGTGGTTAAGTGCTCGCGCGCGAAACCAGTAGGTCCTGGGTTCGAATCTCGCAAAGGGCGAGGTCGTGGATGCGCACTGCTGAGGTGTTCCACAATAGAACGAAACGGCCGTCCAGTGCTTCCAGATTTTCCATGGTGTTCTAGCTTCAACTGACTCATGATCTCAACCATTGAAATTCTCATTATTCTTATATTAAACGGGAAATAAATATTACCCATAGTAATGGATAATATTCGTCGCTTCGTAGCATGAATTGAATGAAACTAAAAATATAAACCAAATAATCTAGACGTGAAATCAACTCAGTTTGACTTTAATTTTCTGGGTTTAATCTCATAAGTTATAATGGGTTTGCACTATTAAGAAGTCCCATAATATACCAATGAGTAGTCATCCACTAATGGATGACTTTTTATTGTTACCCAAAGGAGTTCATTTAATGATGTTAATCGTCTTGCTACTTTATAATTCAGTACAGTATATAGATGGACGCTTATTTTCAAAACACTGAAAAAGAAGAGCTTCTTTGTTCTTTACTGATTGATCAAATGTCACATATTTAATATACTCTAAATTGTTTGAGAAGAATGAAAAACATAAAGAAACTAAATAATTTACGTTTTCAGTGAGGAGTACATTACTTTCAGAAGTTTCCTTGTTTAATCACTTCCTTTGATATTATGTCTATCTTTCTTTTCTGCCAAAGAGTTTAGTAAATTCCGTTTGATGAAAACAAGCACAATATTTATACTACTGGTTTATTTTATGATATGTTCTAGAAGGTAACAAGATAATATTTGTTTCTAATTACCAAATACCTATTATCTATATTTTTATTAGATTCAACTGATTAGCATCCGTGTGTGGTCATATTAGTTAGAAAAGGATTAGGGATTTTAGTTGACAAGTTGTTTGTATTTTAGTCAGATAAATGGATTTCTAGTTGTAAGCCCCCAAGTGAACACTTTGAATTATCTACTCACTAATTTTTCTGTAAGTAACAACTAAGCTATTTCTCATTGAAAGTGTTCAGTAGACAAACTCATCTTTAAATGACTAATGGTTGAATTAAAGATTACATGTAGTTTTATGAATTTATTCAATTAATGAAACAATATTTTTTAAAACGTGAATCATGTTATTCTAGATTCTAATTAGACCAAATTTTATTTAGAACAAAATGAGTCATCTAAGGTTTTACTGTGTGTAGGTATTTCAGTTATGATATTTATTTGTATAATCTTTCCTCATCCTTCATCATGCCTATTAATGAAATTTTAAATGAAAAACTGGAATTAACATAGACCATAAAAACTGCTTATTTCTAGATCAATGTTAATTAGTAAAGATGAATGCTGGCTAGCAGTGGAACACAGGACCTGCGTTTCGTCCTATCTGAGACTTATCACCTAGGTGTATCTGCATCCTAGAGTTGGTGTTCACCTCGAGACTCGAACCTGCAAACGCCATCGCGTTATCCACTTAGCTACTAAATCCTGATAGCCACTTGCTTGTCCAATGGGGTGAAGTTCAAATTCACTTGTCATTGTTTACTTGAATCTTTCCACTGATGTTTAGAATGACACTTGATCAGTCTTTTATTGACATATATACAGCCTTAAATCCATATCAAGGTAATTCACACAGGATACACATATATCAATAAGAGACTGATCAATTTCAATCCTAAACACAAATGAAAAGATCCAAATAAATAATACCATGTGAATTCATGTTTATTGTTTAAATTAAAGTGCATCACGAATAACATTATATAAACAAAATAAATGTCACAATAATTATTACAATATTTATTATAATAAAAAGAAGTAATATGAATGACGTAATCAAATTTTGATATAAAGTAACCAACAGATATCTATTCAAGTTTCATTTGATATTGATTTTTTTTACAAGAAAATACTTTGAACAAATCAGATTTTTCTAGAAAAGTAATTAGTTTCCTTAGTAAAACAAAAATAGATTATTGTTTTGTATAATGAAAAAAACATTCTTGAAGCTTGTAAAGTGTATTTTTGCGTAAAAATGTTGGTTAACTGAATGATTAATACTACTTTACACTTGTACTTATTTGGAATTATTTTTTTCTGGTTGGCAATTTTATTTAGCGAGTTAGTTTTCTACGGAATGGGGTTACTAACCCTATGCCCAACCGTCCTCTTTTATCCATGTGCTTGGGACCGGTAGTAGCTTCAGAGGAGCTTCAGGCGGAATATTTAGCTTTTACCTATTAGTTATTTATATTTATTTCATTTGGTTAGAATGAAAAATTTAGCTGATGAATTTATTTAGAAAATCAAAAATACCGGTTAACTATTTGATTCTGTGTATGGGATAATGAGTATTGAATTAAATGCAAAGCATTTAATTGTCACATTGAGATAAAATTTTAAATCACAAAGTACGAATTCAATGATTCATGTTTAAGTTCATCGGTCAATACTTAGTACTTGAACCTTGTATATATGTTGAGGCTTCAAAAATATTCTCGATGAAATATTCTGGTTCTGAAATTTGAATATCATAATCAAATAATATATATAGTAAAGAATAGCCAAGCTTATCGGTTTATTACAAGTGGAAATTTTACGCTTTCCTATGTTAGTCTTATTGTAATTGCAAACACTTGATCAGTTAATGTATCAATTTCCGTGCCAGATATATGTTCCATATAACAATTGATTCAGTTCTGTTTAATGAATGATTCGATTATATTCAGTTACTTTGATATTCCTTTTCAAAGCTTCTTTTTATAGAAAAACAGATGCCTATCATACTAATAGATAATACAATAATATATAGTGCAATCTCTTCATAAGATAATTGGAATTTGATTTTTGTTTAGAATAATGATCATTTAAGTACTTGAAGATAATTCTCCAGTCAAGTGAAAACAGATCGTTCTAGGTTTTACTCAGACTATGTAACTAGATCAAATGAAAAACCACAAAAAAAAATAATTTTTATTATCCCCAAAATAGCACCAAATTGAAATTGTTTTTTGGTACAACTAACTTTTTGTGGCCAATTAAACTCTTTTGATTTTGGAGTTAAATTTAAAGAATCTGTTGTAAGAACTTTACATAAAATCAAATAATATCTTCTTATACGACCAAGACTTTCAGAGACACGAAATACTCGCATAGTTACTTTTCCTGTCTCTGGTTGTACTGTAACTGGTATCGGTCGAGGAACTAAAAGTGGAGCTAAATATTCACAGCAAAAAAATAAATGAAAACAAATATTACAAAATTTATTTTAAAGTGGTCTAGAGATTAAAATAAATCAAAAGACCATTATGCAATGAATATACTGTATTTAACTATTTTATTAGATTGTTTATTTTCAGTGATACCGAAATCATCTTTTAGTATCATTTGTTACTGTAATATTGTATGTTCGAATGATTTCATAACGAAGGTAACTATGAAATGAAGGCGTGTACTCTAGTGTGTTTGTCAAATGTTTATTTTTAGGTAAAAGTTCGAGTATGAATGAATTCGGAATTCGTGATACTTCTGACACTAGTTTTCATTACAGATATAAACTTCGAAGTATTTAGGAGTTTTAAATATATGCTTATATCAACTCAATCAATCATAATAATCTACGTACATTGTATGTTTAAACATGTAACTTTTTTATTCCAAACTTAATAACTGTAACTTTGTAACAATAATTGATGAACAAACAACTTATGTACAAATCGAAACTCAATGAACATGACTTTGTTTATTTTAAAGCTAACCAATCACCTTATCAAAATAGTATCATCTGAGTATGATGAAAGCACTCAACTACTCGTTTGTATTAAATAAACAATATGCCGTTGTTTCCAGTCAGAAAAATCTATGAAATATCTTTTAACTAAAATCAAACACGTGGCTTAAATTCATCTTTTTTACAGGAAGCCAGGAGCAGGCTGAACGACAGCTTTGAGGTAATATTTCAGACTATGAAACTGAGTAATAGCAGTTCGAACAAAAAAAGCATTATTCTCTCCAATACTGTTGAATAATACCAACTAGTATGAGAACTAGATCCCGAGTCTTCTGGTGGTTACTATTTAAAGCTTCCCTCATTTTGAGGTACATTATTATTATTGGCTTTATTCAATATTAGATTTTTGGCACAATATAGAATTCTCAGCACAGCGAGTTTCCGATTCTTATTTCTTGATCGATCCTGATGATAAATATTGAGTGATCGTCAGTTAGATGTTAGCAGTTCAGAAGTCGACATCTAAATAATATCCATTCTTTTCAATGCACATTGTCAACCATCACGATGTTTCCGATTGTAAATTTCTGTGACTTGTACAGCGAAAGGTAGTAAAATCTTCACAAACGCACTTGAATAGGTTATGCAATTAATTGACACAATGACGTGTTAAAACAAACAAGGAAACAGAGAACTTTTTGAAATATCTAGATGGTAGGAACAGGTAGCTAAGTTATTCAAAAAGGCCACCCTTATTGTTTTATCATCAATAAAAAGTATATACAGTGTACAGCACTTTTATGTAGATATGGTCAGATGCTTCCGATACTTAGATAAAGCACAAGAAATAATGAAGAACATCACTTACGAAGCATTTGTGTTCGACAACTCGTACGTCCTGTTGGAGTTGCACTGTCTATAGTCGCACTTTGATCATGTTGTGAATAAATAGGCTTAATTTGCACATCATAAACCGTATTCGCTTCCAGTTCATCGATAACTAATTCATACTGAGGATGATCTGAGGTGGATGACATGTACCCACCATTTGTGTTCATACTGGAGCTAGAAGATTGATCTAGCATTGACGTTGTAACTTCCACTGAACGTGGTTCATACAGAATTCGATGCGGATGACTTCGTTCATCAGCATATGTTTTAGATCCAAGTAGCTGAATCTGTAATTGGGTAGAAAATAGTGTTAACGCTATTCACTTATAAGTTTGAATTTCGTTAATTTCATAAACAAAGTTACAAATGTCTTATTAAATCTAAGTTATCATCTGTAAGATCATATTTCCTTCGATTTAAAATGTTCAAGATAGAAATGTTTCAAACTTATCATCAATTGATCATAGCTACTTCTATCAGGAACTCACTATCAGTTAAAAACACTATACAAAATATGTCAAACCAAATTACTTAAATGTTGTTCAAGTAACTTACTTCAAATTGGTAAAGACCCTCAAGTTGACGAGGACGTCTCCATGAAATTTTAAGACTTGCCTCACCAGGTTTAGCTGTCTCTAAAGTTTGAACCCATGTACATGATAAATGACTGATTCGTTTTAAATCTTCCGGTCCAGAATTGGCTAAGTTATTAATATCCTTAGTAGCTCCATTAATTTCATGTGGATTGTATATCCCAACATGAATAGGTTCACTTAATCTTCCATGTCTCCTATCTGCTCCTCTTGATTTTATTCTTATAACATAATCCTTTTGTGGATCTAATAAGTCAAGTGTTGCCATTGTAACCGGACCAACATCCAAAATTTGCCATGTATTCAAATCCTGTGTATTTTCGTTTGTTGAATAAAATATACGAAATCCAGTTATTGGTATTTGGGGTTTCGTGATAGGCCCAACAGGCATTGTATTCCATGTAACTTTTATTTGTCTTGGATTTATACGTAGACCATTAATTTGTGACGGAGGTTCTGGTACTATTTAAAGTAACAACGGATTAAACATATTTTTGTTTGAATTCACGTGACAATGTTAATTAACTCAGAAGATACTAAGTAAATAGATTAAGAAAAATAGACAGAGAATCACTGCTGCAGCTCAGAGAGCTGGTTCTACACTTTGAGACAACTCAGTAAAACTTTCAGAAAATTGCATAGAGTATTCGTAAAAACTATTAATTGAAATAGGTTATGTTAGCTGTTTAGTAAAGTAGAAACACTCGACTTTATATCATTTCGTAATGAGTGCTAACCTCACCCTCATCTTTAATTTAGACCACTATCTAGTTTGATTTATTTTTGGAGTTTAACTAGTGGTAGCTGTGTTGTTGTTTCTAATCATTTGTAAATAATCTAGTTACCTTAATTCCCTATAATCCTAAATCACTTAGAAATTAGAATTTCATTTGAAATTTTAATTTCGTCTTCACCGCTATTCATGCACATCATAGAAGTAATACACTTAAGAGTTACATCAGACATTGTGTTTCTGAAGACGCCTTTGATAATAAATGCAAAAATAAGGAAAGTGTACTTGTTCATAGTTTTGACAAATAACATTATTGTGCAATTGATAATGATTCTTTTAGTTCTTTAAAATAATCATGATTCGACCAAGTTTCATCTATTCTAAACAAAATCAGTGTCTGAAACTACTTTTTAATGAAATGATAGAAGTAATTTATAAGCCTAAACATTCGGAATAACATAATTTCATTATCCACTAACAAATACGTCACTCAATTAAAGAAAAAAACATCAAACCTTTTTCAACAGTTCCTAGCTATCATCATACGTTTGGCTTAGAATTCTTAGTTTATCTGTTATTTATTTACATTAATGTAGGAATCAGATATAGTTTATCTACTGAACAGCTTAAATAAATATTTATTCTTGTTTTGCAATGTGTTACCATTCAGGCATACAAATAAGTACGAATGAAATTAATATATATTCAAACAGAAGATCAATATGGGATTAGAAATAAAAATGAAATATTTACATTCAGCTGTAGTACGAATTGTACTAGCTGCTGACCATGGTCCTGGTCCATTTTTAGTTAATGCTCTTACTAAAACAGTATAGAATGTACTTTCTTTAAGATTTTCAATTTGTAATAATGGTTCTTGTGTTGTTGTGATAATTTCAGTTTCATTTGGTGCACTTGGTTGAAAATATTTAACCTAATTTATATGAAATTTGAAAGAAAAAAAAAGTTAATTATCGGTGTTATTGTTACATTATGAACTTATCATCAATTCATTGACAATTTAATTTTTAAAAAGTTACTAATTTTATTCTATATTATTACGAGTATACTTTGGTATTAAAAGAGTAATTATATTTAGCCAGTATCCGTGTACTGGATCTATATGATGACTTATTTTAATCTATTATGGATAATGCAAATAGATTTTCATGAGTTCTCAAATGAACTAGTACGGCCGAGAGTTGGGAGATTTAGTACTCCCTCTCGAAATGCTCTCATATGGCCACGTGTGTACAGCCACTGTCAAGGAAGTCCTACTTATTGCTTTCTCGAGGTGAAGGTGTTGCTTACGAAATCGAGAGGACGAAAAGCGAATGTTCAGCGCTTTAACCGGGTTGATGGATATGGAGGGTCCATCTAAAAGAGGCGGAAAACCATGATTCTAAACCAATGGTGTACATTGGCTCCAGGATACTGAGGGAACGAATGGTGTATGAACTAATCGTTGGTCACCGGCTACCATGAGATTGCATCCCCTTGAGAATCAGACCTTTAGGTCGCAGGCTCGGGATATGGACCCATAAGAAAATCAGCTGTTTTGGTTTGGGCACCCGGGCAGTATCCCAGCCCTCACACAAACCAAGTGAATTGTGTGGCGTATATGTTATCGATGCTCCTCTGTACCAATCTTTATGTGTTCAAATAAATAAATAAGTAATTTACACTGAATTGTATGATGTCAATACTAAGTGTTTTTAGTTTTTAAAACGTTCTGTAGTAGTAATAAATTTAATTATTATCATAGAATGGCTGTTCAAATACTATGGAGTTTAATAATTTGTTTAGTATAAGTCATTATTCGAGATGCAGTGTAATACATTTATTAAACTAAGCAATGCTTTCAACATTGATCATATGTTTCATCAATTATATGATATGAATTCAAATAAAATATTCGAAGCAATTTAAGATTTACAGAATTCTTAGATAAAATCACTTTCCAACTTATTTTACAAGTAAAGGACTTGCGGCGGTCGGTATTCGATATAATCCATAAACTTTGTATACAGTTCGTCTTGATAACCGTCACTAGATAACGCACCAACGGTATATTAATCAGAAGGCCCATACGAAGCGTTGATTATGGGACCACACACACAGATATCCAAAATTACAGATGCGTTAAACAAACATAGAAGAGTTGTGCCGAAAGGCAACCAGGCAAGTGAGCGAGCGAGTGAGTCAGCGAATATGAGTACGAGTAAGCGAGTACAATTAAGCGAGAGAGAGCAATGAACATGAATAACATGGACCTATATATACATAGTGAAATGAATGAATCATCGGATCAATTAAGCGGTTAGTAGTAAAGCTAGCAGCGTGAATAAATGTGTAGGCAGTAAGCCATGCTCAACCATACATGTTCATACATTCGCAATAGTAATAAAGTTACAATGATATAGATAAGTTGTTGTTAGGATGACTCAGTTCGTTAACAAGTTAATAAAATGACTTAACTGAAATAAATATGAACAAACTCAATTGCACGTGATCTCTTATAGACTTTTTAAGTGAATTCCAGATAAAAATCCTAGAATTCACAAAAATCCGGTAGGTAGTGCATAAAACTGTCGTTCCATTTTAAAGGTTTATTAAGAAATATTTAACTCACAAATAATTACCTGGTAGCTAGTAATTTCTTCAGTCCATTTTTGTCTTGAAGGTGGAGTCCATGAAACTTCTATAGCAGTTGCCGAAAGTCCTTTAACACGTACATGTAGTGAATAACTTCCAGGTACTGAATTAGTTTATATTAGAAAAAAATGTAAAGAATAAAATTAGGAATTGATTCTTTGCCCAAAAACAACAGTGTAAGACTAAATTTCTATATATTGGTGTTAGATTATTTACTGTAGATTTTGTAAACTGAATATTTCATGTTTAACAACATCTATCAAGTAAACAAACCAAAATATGAAATTGTAAGACGTTATGCATGAATAACATAATAAGATGTCTTAGCTGCAAATAGATTCTGAAAATAGTGAAACTATCAGTAACATAAACATATCTCAATAGTTGAATTTATGAGTCAATTGAAGCTAGACCACCATGGAAAACCTGGAAGCACTGGACTGCCGTTTTGTCCTAGTATAAAACTCCTCAGCAGTGCTGATCCACGATCTCGACTCGCGAGATTCAAACTTCATGGATTGGTTGAAGTAAGATATGAACACCATTTGATGCCCGCTCAGTGGTCTAGTGGTTAAGCGTTCTTGAGCGAGACCGGTAGGTTTTTGGTTCGAATCTCACGAGGCGGGATCGTGGATCTGCACCGCTGAGGAGTCCCATACTAGGACGAAACGGTCGTCCAGTACTTCCAGGTTTTCCATCGTGTTCTAGCTTCAATTGAATCATGAATTCAACTATCAAATTACTATAATATCCACAAAAATCCATCCCTTATTATAATAAACATGTTTCATGCTATATTATGCAATACAGTTTTCATAGTTTGTAATAATTGCGAAGGAATATCACAAATTATATTTCATTCTACTTGATATGTGAAATTCATGATTTTATTAAATTACACTTTATAATTCATGAAGCTTTCAATAAGAAAAATCAAATGGTTTCTACAAATGCTATCATTTTATGTGGTATTGTTTTAATTTAGCCAACTCATTTAGATTTAGTTAACTAAAAGATTCTATTTATCCATAGTTGATCAAGACACTGATCCTGATACTAGATCTGTTATCTTATTATGTTAAGTCCTTTGAAGTTCACATCAAGACATTTTTTACTTAAGTTCATCGATAGGCTAAACTTTTAATTCTATTGAAACTTAATGAAAGAAATAAGAAATTTCTATTTCACATGAGATATAACACTCAATTGACATAAATGTTGTGGATGCGCAGGAATAGACCAATAATTATCATGTTAAGTCCAATAGTGTCCTTGGACTTTAAATGGGTATTTTCTATTTGTCGATATCTGTTCACTTGTTGTATATTGTACAAAATGTTGTTTTCTATTTTATGGTACGATGTGGTGTGCTTGATTGGTATATAAACAAAGTATGTTTGAAATATAATGATTCATATCTCCGAGGCTGTGACCTTTGTTCTCCACTCAACTGGGCTAGGACAGACAGCGGGGCAGGGCCAATCAGGGCACTAGGTCGTTCATACGTGTTTTCCGCGTCACTCTCACCGAGTCGATCAATAAACGCTGCTTATCAAGACCTGCAGTCACAACGTAAAGTCATAACAATTGGCGACGGGGTGGAGAAAAATTTTGAACCTTGTAATTGGACGAGATTCAGGTTAATTGTTTCGACCAATCAGCATCCAGATTGTCACCAGCGTCCTTGAGCAACATTGGTCATTATTCCTACAGTTAATTTTCATTGCAGGTGCTGAAAAAAAAATGACTACCTTTTCCGATCGATTACAGCTTCTACTTGAGCAACAACAGCAGTGCTTCAAAAATAGCCAGTTAAATTTTTTAGAAAATTTACGCACACTGTTGGTAAATGTTCCATGTTTCGGAGGTGCAACAGAAGTTGGTAAATTCATTTCTCATCTGCAGACTGAGCTGGAAAACAACTGCAGAACATATGAAGCTGTTTATAAAAGCCTCTGTGAATCCCGGACGACCAGTGATGTAAACGAGACAGTTATTCATGGTCCGCCCAGTTGTCCAGAAATGTCAAATTCCGAAACGTTCCCTGTCGTGGGTTCAAATCCCACTGTTCCTGAAACGTGTACAGACAGTGATGTACCCAGCTCACAGGAGGATCTCTTATTAAATGCTCATAAATTAATTGCAGTACCCGCCCACAACGGAACAGGGAACAAATCGTGCGGTACACTGAATCCAGCTGTTTCAAATGGTCCTCATCATTCAACAACAGGAGATTCTGACGAATCTTATTATCTAGATCTTTTTGTACCAGAAAATGTGTTAAATGCATTAAATGATGATCAGAAATCTAATACAATTTTGATAGATGTTGATTATCGCAGTGATCAACTGTTTACAAATGAGATTTTCAACAAATCCCGTGACAATGTTCCAGAAGAATCAAACGTTGGTGACCTCATATCAAGCGACATTGTTCCCCACTATTTAATCACTTTCAGTGACTCCCCTGTTCAATCTGACAATTATGTGTTAAATAAAGTCAAATTAATTCTAACTTGGGAATATGAGGACCCAACATTATTTCGTGGGGGAGGATGAACCCAGAAAATTTCAAAATCCGGATATCAACTCCGGATCTTCAAAAAAAAGGGGAGGTGTTGTGGATGCGCAGGAATAGACCAATAATTATCATGTTAAGTCCAATGGTGTCCTTGGACTTTAAATGGGTATTTTCTATTTGTCGATATCTGTTCACTTGTTGTATATTGTACAAAATGTTGTTTTCTATTTTATGGTACGATGTGGTGTGCTTGATTGGTATATAAACAAAGTATGTTTGAAATATAATGATTCATATCTCCGAGGCTGTGACCTTTGTTCTCCACTCAACTGGGCTAGGACAGACAGCGGGGCAGGGCCAATCAGGGCACTAGGTCGTTCATACGTGTTTTACGCGTCACTCTCACCGAGTCGATCAATAAACGCTGCTTATCAAGACCTGCTGTCACAACGTAAAGTCATAACAATAAATTTTAATAAATCTCAATAAACTATGCCATGGAGTATAAGACCAGTGATTGGTGAGAATAACAGATGTGAAGTGAACTGATTTTAAAGTGTATATTTATTCCTTCAATACACTTATGATACATAATTCTGTTTTAAGATATAGTATCGAACGTTATAAATTGTAATTACAATAGTTTTCCTGACTAAATTAAATGGAAGGCAGATATATGCTCAATTGACTGAAATCAGATGAAATAAAATTTACTTTAGTGATGCCTCTAAAGTATTTAAGCTATCTGCGATATATTATAAAGCTATTTGCGTAGGTTACCGAGAATTTCCAGGACTCATGTCAATAACTGTTTCGGTCTATTTAGTAACTTTTTATCAAAGTACACAGAGTTTATTCGAAATGACGTCAGAACGAACACCAGATTTCAGTACTATCCTCGAGAATAGTAAATCATCACTCCTAACAAAGCACTTTAAAACTGCTAGGTCGGAATATAATGGATCACTTTTGTCTTTTTCTTATTTCTAGACATGATTAAGTTCTACCAGGCATGACCACTCCCTAAAACTTTGTGGAATGTATTTTTAAACTAACTAGTAAGAGAAAATATGATCATTGTTTAGTTGACAGTTTTATTAATATCAGTCCAATTTTCAGATAAATTTCTCCACAATGACCGTGTGTACATTTAAGGAGTTCCAAAATAGGACAAAGGAACTGTCCGATGCTAATTAGTTTCTATTTATTTTTTTTCAAATTTCAGTCAGTCTGTGATACAAGTTATCCGTAAATTCATTATTTGACATATTTGTCAAGATATGCTTATTTCATTTAGTAATAAATCAGATTCATTTTAATATTGTCCTAATTTCTGATGGACAATTATGTTTCAATACTAATTACATCCGGTTATTAAAAAAAAAACTTATTAAGAACAATTTAAGCAATACTTTTCCATAAATTTAGATTGGTTTACTGAAAAATATAAAATGTATTAGAACTGTGTGATATCGTTTAAAGATCCCCATCATATTAAAAGACTAATATTTGAACGAAGAATATTCTTTTCGATGAAATTCTCTTCAGATTCTACAATTATATATCCAAATTAATAATCCGAAAAATTATCAGGTTAAAGATAAAGTGAATCATTTGAACCATTTGAATTTAGGATTGTCAAACAAAATACAATAAAATTGTTAATGTTCATATAACATATAGAATGTTAACTTGAATCTGCATATATGTAAGGTGAAATTTAAGATCCATGATCCGAATAAATATGGATCAGATCTGGTAAGAGAAATAATGATACAATTATCATTCGGTCAAATGTTTAGTGGAAGACTAAATTGTGTGAAAAATTAGTCAGACGTAATAAGGAGGGATGAATGCGAAGTGAATGAATCATGCGTTGGAGAGATTAATAATGATGTTTAACCAATAGTAATAATAATAATAATGCAAAGAATACAATAAATATAACAGAGCATATTACATTTGACTACGAAAGGTCGTAATTACGATAGTCAAATTAGGTCATTCAATAGTTAAGATTACTATTGATTAATTGGCCTCGAGATTGGCCAGGGGAGGGGGAGTGGTTGAAGATATTTCTTCTGAACATATAGCTCCGGTTTCTTCATCCGGATGTACATTGCCTTTAACCTGGTAATTTTTCGGATTAATAATTCTGATATATAATTGTACAACCGGAAGAGAATTTATCGTAAGGAATATTCTTCGTTCAAATATTAGTCATTTACTGTGATGTATTAGTGTAATATATTTCTAAAAGTCCTGATCGTACATTATGTAACAATGTTTAAGTGCGAAATGAACATTCAAACCAAACAAATGGGGAAAATACACTTAAATATTGTAAGATTATTAAGGATCCTGTAACAAATTATGAGATTGAAAATTGTAACCATCAATTTTATAAAAGGTTTTTACTTGTTTACATTAAATCTGTGGTTAGCTATCGGGTGAGAGATATCTATTTTCAGAAAATCACATTTCGTCTAGACAGTTGTGTAACAAAATAAATAATCGATACGAAAACAGAATGTGATCAAGTGAAATCACATTTCTTATGGCCTTATTTAAGGATAACATTCATAGACAAATTTATGTAAAAGAATTTCAATCATAGCTCAAATAATGTCAAGCTCTTTGTGTTCAATATTTTTGAAGTTCATACTTTGGGAATATAAAAAAAGAACTTAGAAGATGTATCAACGATACTCTGCACATATATGGTAATGTAGCATCTTCTAAAACATAAAGCTGTTAAATTCAATCTATTACTAAAGTTATGTACACTGTTGCGTAATATTCGTTGACCATGTTTGTCTTCATAATATCAACTCACTGTTAATGTATAGATCGATTCGGTTTAGAATTAATATATGGTAACTAAAGACAATAATAACTTATTCAGATTAATGTCGATTTAGAGTTTTCTAAATATGTAACGACAGTTCCACAACTCATCAGTGAAATATACTTCAATTCCGAACTCAGTTCATTAGATTTCATTATCAAAAGTTTGATTGTCCAAAGGAATTCGAAAAATAAGTGAATCTGATTTTAAAGATCTGAGTGAAAAATGGGAAAAATTTATCAGATGCTTAATAAAATAACGCTCAAAGAAATCTGTCAGCAATAAATATCACTGAAGCTGTCACTTATGTGCTTCTTCCAGGTTCAAACACATGGCATTAACAAAGAAAAACGAAACTATCAAGATGAACGTTAGAATACTAGAAGTAGTATTTGTCGTATAACTGATAGTAAAAAACAACATAGGGCATAAAATAATTTTCAACCTCAATATCTAAGACAAAACAAGCATTGTATGCATCTCTACCATCGTGATAGATTATGAACCATATAACTAACGTCCCTATTCAATGGTCACAATGATTTTACATACATTAACCAGATAGCCTGTACTTCGTAACAGGGCTCAGTTTAAAAGTTGGTGACATTATAGATAAATGCCATGTAATGATTTGACCCACCATGTATTTCGTGTAACTTATTCCTACATCACCTATGGTCTGTAGGAATGCATCGAAGAAAAAGTAAAGGGAAATAAATAACAGATCTCTTCTTTAATTCAACAAAAATATGCACTAAACGGATAATTTAAATTTTATCTTAAATACTTTTAACAGTGTTTACCAAAAGACTAACATCATACTGACGTATTACGTATAAAAGTTCGATTTTATAAAAAATTAAAAATCTATAAACAAGTGTAAGAAATGTGAGATATCAAAGAGTGTTAGGTCCCTATAAACATAATGAACTTTGGGATCCTTTTATGGACCAATACTAAACGTATATTTTTATCGTATAATTGTTAAGCAACTAAACTATTCATATTCATGTTCCTCTTATTATAAGCTTTATTTTGACCTATGAATCATTATTATACGTTTTACCATTCTTGAATTATGCCCTGTCTATTAGTCACTGCCTCCCATATTCACGCTCACATTTGGCCAAATTTTGTACAAATGTTATTTTCTATTTTATGCTACGTTGTGGTCTGTTTGATTGGTATATAAACTCAGTATGTTTGAAATATAAGGATTCATATTGCAGAGGCTGAGACTGGTGTTCTGGACTTAACTGGTTGGGCTAGGCGGAAAGCAGGACCAATTAGGACTCTAGGCTGCTCGCACGTGTTTTACGCGTCCTTGGTCCGATCGGTAATTCGCTGTTTCTGATTGGCGGCTTTGCGCTATAACAGAGAGGAAGAATGTAATTGTAAAATCTCAGCGAGAGAATTTGGATTAAATCCAACGTTTTACCTGGTAATCTGATTCAAGCTTTTGAAATTCTTTCGCAGAGATTTTACATATACATTCTCCCTTTTTAAGTGTAGAAAATAGTCTGATAAACCATCCACATGATATTTGTAAAGCTTAAAAAAGAATAAACCAATGATGCTAATTTTTCTGTAAAATATTATCTGATAAACAGTATGATACATCAGTAGTATGCTTTACAGTGAGATATAACCTTTATAGTGAATGAAACTTTGAGTGATTAGTAAAGAAATTAGTACAGTAACAGCGGTAGGAAACTGTTATAATAGGAAATATGATGTTTTTTGATAATACTTGAAATAAATTGTATGATACTATTAAAACTATTTATCAATAATACAATCTTCTTAGTTTAATAACAATAAGAATAAAGAAGAAAATAAAACAATCTTACCATCTTCAGGTGTACTAATATTTAATTGAGCTGGTAGACCAAGATCAACTCCATTGTAGGCAGCCACTTCAAATTGATAAGTACGTCCAAATTCTGAATATTTATAGAATAAATAAAGTGAATTGAATAATATTTAAAGTAAAAGAAATGAAATGGATTTTTTAAATGTCAAAAGATATTTATTATGATAGAGTTTTGTTCTCTGAGCTAGATGGTTTGGTCGTGGAGCTTTCATCGTTCTTCTGAACGATATCATGAGTACAAATTTCAGGTAGATATTTATTGTTTTTAAATCTAATATAATAAAAACTACATTATAAGCTATTAATACATTCATAACATTCATACTCTGTATATCATGTCAGAAATATACTGACTTATTAGAGATCCATCTTGTTACCAAAAGACTTATGTTTTCTTAATAAGATCTAAGTATCGATAATTAACTAGCAATCATTTTTTACATTACGCTTACTGTCTAAAAATTCAATTGACACATGGAGTTACATTGGAGTGTTTTGTTCTCTTTGTCATTACTAGAAAAAAATATATTAAAAAAACGCACGAAGTGTGTGCATTATTACATATGCCTCCTTATCCAAGAGTGAACTTACATTTGTATCAGGTTAAAACTAGTACCGAAATCTTTTACGTTCATTATAGAGAAAGAAGATTAGTTATTTAGTTTCATGTTCAAAATATAGATTATATAAATTTGGGTTAAAATGTCAACCAGAAGTATTTTTCTAGTTTAAACTGCTATCGAAAGGAAAGTTACAAACATTGTCTTATGATGTTGAAGTACTTATTGCCAGCAATACATAATATAAACATAATGTTTGTAAATAATGTCAAAGTACTATCAAAACTCAGAAACATAAAGTAGTAATTGCCATGTAGAAATACACTAACTGAGGAAAGCACACAGAGATTTAAGAATATTGATTATTTAAGGAAAAAAGAAAAGTACATAACATGACTACCAAGTTTTTGATGGAGTTTTGTTCTCTAAGCTGCATGGTTTGGCTATGGAGCTTTCATCGTTCTTCTGAACGACATCATCAACAAAAACTTCAGGTAGAAGTGAATTGTTCGAATTTTTCCACATATGGCTCACAGCTTGTCTTGTAGACCTCGATGTTGATTGGTTCTTGTTGACCTTAAATCTTAGAGAACAAAACTCCATCAAAGTTTCCACCTGAGCTACAAATCTTCACCGTTTCATGACTACTAAGTGTTTGTTCATTTTCGATTACCTTAAAACAATTATAGTTAGAAAAATGTATTATACCAATGTCTTCCAAGTCTCAACTCATCTCATGCATTGTAAATTATATGATTACTCTGTACTAGACAATAACCAGATCCATTTACATTAATCTTTAAATATATTAGAAATGTAACAGTTATATCAGTTATAAGTGATATATTTTACTGCAAATAATTTAGATACAGTAAACCTTATAAAAGAACATCTGAATTATTTACAGCAGTTATATGGCTCAGATTCTTCATTCTACTAATGAATAATAATTTTCCTCAATAAATTTTAACGCTATTTTCATCTATATGTGACGTCAGGAAGAATAAAATTACACCACATGGATCACTGAATTGCAATCGTTTAAGACTTCCTATTAGCTTACATTTCAATCCTCCAACACAGATGAAAATCGGCAACTAAATTTTTATAATGACTACGATACCACTAAGTTGGAAAACGGTAATTTACACACTGATAAGTGGCATTATTGTGTGGTGTACATTTCTTATTAAGTGTTTTAGACTGAAATTTGACCACTTATTGATGTATATGCAGTTTAAATTCATGAGGAAAGGGAAAAATTGTAGTCTAGTGGTACATGAAGTGATGGTTGTCTTTCTAAATTTTGTCTTAAAACGAGAATAAGTACAAACCTGACTTTGGGTAATGCGACAAACAGCCAACTGAACTTTCTTTAATTCAGTATAGTTCCAAATAGGTAATCTAATTACAATATCTTTCAATTACTTATGATTGAAGTTTAGGAACATAGATCTTTCTAGTAAATGATATTCTATGAGATAAAACAAAGTATTTGATTTTATTGATGTAACCAAACATCAATGTGTGGTGATGGGTATTCAATATAATCCTTAAACTTCGTATACAGTTCGTCTTGATAACCGTCACTAGATAACGCACCAACGGTATATTAATCAGAAGGCAAATACGAAGTATTGATTACGTTTATTATGGGACCACACACACAGATATCCAAAATTACAGATGCGTTAAACAAGCATAGAAGAGTTGTGCCGAAAGGCAACCAGGCAAGTGAGGGAGCGAGTGAGTCAGCGAATATGAGTACGAGTAAGCGAGTACAATTAAGCGAGAGAGAGCAATGAACATGAATAACATGGACCTATATATACATAGTGAAATGAATGAATCATCGGATCAATTAAGCGGTTAGTAGTAAAGCTAGCAGCGTGAATAAATGTGTAGGCAGTAAGCCATGCTCAAGCATACATGTTCATACATTCGCAACAATAATAAAGATACAATGATATAGATAAGTTGTTGTTGTCCGGATGACTCAGTTCGTTAATAAGTTAACAAAACGACTTAACCGAATTAAATATGAACAAACTCAATTGCACGTGAGTTGCTATAACTGTTTGCTTAGGTAATGGGATGAGATTACGTTAGTCAACCAGACTTATATTAATTATCAACCAGTCTGGTTTTACTAAAGTAACACGTAGTTAAACTCAAATAAGTCATTAGATTATTTCGGTTCTTAAAAGTTACTCTAGTATAAATCGATGAAGGAATTTAATAGACATATTTAAAACTATCAATCTCTTTGATAATGCAAGACGAAGATTATGGGAACTACATAATAATATTAGCATAATACATTTCGAACAAGCAGATCACACAAATACATCTTATAAAAGGTCAACTAAACAAATTGGTAGCTAAGACGAAACAAAGATAATAAAGAAAGCAATGTGAAACATCACTCTGAATAATCAATTAATATTACTGGGGTAGGTTTAGGGTGAGAAAAAAATTCCGAATACCGAGAGGGGCTTTGAATTTTCATATGGTCAGGGCTTGAATTAATCTTAGTATATGCCCTAGATACTTTTGTCCAAAACCACAAATGTCAAGTTAAGATCAATCCTATGACCTATTTTGGCTGACTAAACAGAATGAAAATTTTTAAAGATGGAGTGAGTTTTTTATTTAAAAAATACAAAAATCATTTCAGTGTAAATGATATTCACCTGTTTTAACTATGTGTTTAGCAATGGAAGAAAATAGATGTTTATCATCTGCCCTTATTGGGTCATAGCCACTGTAAATCACTATATCTATTTGGCTACAAATGCTTAAATTGATAGTCGGTTAGTCAGTCAGCAGCAACGTAGAACTTCATATATACGTACATCATTTCGAGTTGCCATACCACATTAGCGCAGAGATACAACTGTCAATTCAGATTCAATTTAAATTGATAAACGCAGTAGGTTATGATACATTTGTTTACATATCGTTTAGGATTTCGAGGCATAGATCTTATTTATTCAGTGATAATGACCTTTACTGCGTAGTACGTTTTAATGATAACTAATTTGAGCCTATGTTTCAACACAAAACTGTTTGACTCAGGACTAAATGATAGGGTTTTTTTAGTACAAAAAATATAGTAGATCACACCGGACTATGATTTTACCATCACTTTATGGGTTTTAGAAGATAATCATTCTTCATCAGCTTCATCTCAACTTCCTTAACATCATTTGTTAGGTTTCTAAAAAAAAAAACGTTTTCCTTTATTTCACATGCAACTACATTTGATTGAGTATCACACTTTTTCTTCATGGTAATTTATAAAACCATATTTACTTTAAGGTTTATGAATTCATGTGTCACTATTTCTCTAAATGAGTACAAGCTTCACCGATATATTGTCTACTCTAAAAGTTCAAATGTTATTAAGTATCAGTATAAGGGTTGTGGCGATTATTAAGTTTTTAATTGAGATCATAGTATGTGTATTTACGATCATATATAATTAAAGATCAAAATAATTTGGATTGGTTTATTACATTGTTTAGCTATTCGATATGTTAAATGATAAAGAAAACTTTAAACGTATTAAGATTAACCACCTTTTTAAAATTAAAATAGCAATAAAGACACTACACAATTTCTATATTGTTCATTATAAAAGAATAATGATTTATACAATCATCTCAAATCATTTATGAACTATATGTTAAATATGAGAAGTTTGTAATTATCGAAATGTAATATAGACAAGAGCTTTTATTGGTTTTAAGATTAGAAGAAATCAAACTGTAATTGATACTTAGAAATACTAGAATTGGAAGTAGGACTAACTACTTCATAGGATAATTACATAGTACACATTCAATACCACGTTTATACATTTACTTAGGACAAACTAAAAAGCAATCTGAAAACTGAATATCATAAAGGTTCTCTTTACAATTTTATTTCAATATGTCAAACGGAGATCAAAAAGTACTCCTGAATTTTGTAATAGGTCACTAGTCATTATCACTTCATGATGTTATCTACATGTAAAAGTTTTCACCAATTATTGTCCTTCTCTTACTGAATGAAAATTTATTTGTTTTGTATAATGATTAGGCGAGACTATAATTTATAAATGACCTGAAGTGACCCTGGGAAATTCCAACTGCTTATTAGGTTCAAAATAAGGTTACTAATCAATATGAAGAATTAAAACTATGTGTCTGGGTAAGCGATTAGAGTTATGAATCAAATTTAAAGTTTCAATCACTAACCAACATCACTTAAAATGAAAGAAAGCTATTTAGCTATATAGACGAATGAAATTCGTATAAAAATCCTAGAGGCATCATTTTAAATCTTATTAGGTCATCCGTTGCTATTCGACTGGTCCTTTCGGTCCCCCACGTTATCCGGACGTTACATGTACCTATTAAGATTGTTGCTCTGGTTGTCAGAAGGGGTGTCGGCCTCGTTACTTCCGAAGAATCTTGACTTTTATTCTGAGGCGTAATGACTCTTCCTGCAACACCCAGGGCAG